ATCACATCACCCTGGCTCTTCAATGTTTCCTGCCAGAAAGGACCCAAGTCCTTTCTGCTTCCAGCTAACCAGCCAACAACTCAGGATCATGCTTCTCTCAAAGGAGGCATGTGTCTGGAAGGAGAGGAGGGCCAGGACATTAGATTAGCCCTAGAACTACCCAATTTTTGCTAACTAGCATGACTGAGGGGGAGCCCCGTGATGGACACTGCGCCAGGGGCTTTGCCCTTCCGAGTCCTGAGATACATGCTAGTATCTCCATGCTTGAGGAAAATTGAGGCTGGGAGACTTGAGACTATAGGTGGCATTTAAGCTGGAGTTGGAACCTTGTCAACGGACTGGCAGGCACTCTGTCCCCACACCTGGACAGGGCACTGGTGTTTCTGCCAACGACTACTGCATGGCTACATTGGAAGAGTCACTGGCCATTCAGAACTTTGTGCCTTTTGCACCTATGAGGCCCTTGGCCGAAGCACATTTTCGGTAAAATCCCACGCCCTCCTCACGACCCAATTCAAACCAAGAGAGCTGGTGACATTTGTGCAGAATGTGTTGCTCCTGCTTCAGTCGCATGTGCTTCAAATTACCAGCAAAACTCACCTGGTTACATTATTCTCTTAACTTTTATTATTATTTTTTTCGCTGAACTTATTTCAGCGAAATATACAGATATAGGGGCTATATCTCATTGGTCTCCACAGTCACAGGACAGAGGTAGAATAGCTTGAGGACTGTGAACACCAATTATACACACGTGGCTCTAAGAGATGGCATGAGACCAATTCCATTTTATTGACAAAATTATATTGTGAACGTTTAGAAACAGGGCTCTGGGCCCTCTCTGATGGCGTGACGGGTTAAAGCGGAGAACTATGAAGCTATCACAGCCACTGCAGCACAAGTTCTATCCCCGGCCGGCCAGGGAGCTGACCCACAGGGCACCGCAGCCCTCTCCTGACCCGCCCGCTGCTCCCCTCAGCAGTGTACTTCGTCCATCTGCCTGTTCTGCTCCCCACTTTCTCTGGTGAATCCTCTCACCCCTGCACCTCTGGTCTGTACCCCAGTTCTGCATGTATAAATAAATCTTTAACATATACAAACAGGGCTCTAAGTGTCATAAGGTTGTAAATACTGTGCTGGGATCAGAACTCAGGCAGCTGAACTCTGGAGCCTGGGGATGCCTAATACTGTTGCCCCAAATGCTTTTTCTTTGAGTGTAAACACTCAGCCCTTTGCTCGTAATACTTCAGTGTGGATTTTCTGAAGACAAGAGCATTCCCTTATGTAATCACAGTACAGTTATCAAAACTGGGAAATTAGCATTGTCCTATTATACAGTTACAGACCTTTTTCATGGCCAATTCATCCAATAATGTCCTTCATAAACAGATGTCCATTTTCTGGTTCAAGATCCTATTCTGAAGGACACATTACAATTGATTGTCCTAGTTTTCATATCCTTTGGCCTGAAACAGTTCCTCAGTATCCTTTATCTTTCGCGCTATCTGAACATATCTAATGTTCCCATGACTAGATTCGGCTTAAGTTTTCAGCAGAACACTACGGAGGTGTGCTGTGCCTTTCTCAGTGCACCACAGAGGGAAGCTTCGATGTCTGTGTCCCTTTGACTATTTTTTCTGTCCGCCAGTGTTTTTCCCTCTTCAGTACCTTCTGCACGGGATACAGTGCCTGACTTATGGTACAAGTTTAATAAACACTAGTTGAATGAATACATCTCTATTCCTCCAAAAGACCCAAGTGGCTGAGGAAGCGCACGGTCCCGCTGCAGGGCTGTACCTGGGGCTGGGAAGGCTGCAGGCCGTTCAGCCGGAGCCTTCTATCAAGTGCTGCAAGAGGCTCTGCATTGGCCAGGAGACATAATGCCTGCGCCACCCAGTGGGTCCATGTACGAGGCACGTCTGTACCAGTGTGGCAGCCTGAGCAAGGAGCCATGATTACAGACTCACCAAGGGAGCATAGGGCATTTGTGGCAATTGTGCCTTGCCTCTTGGTTGTGACACCAATTCCAAACCCAGCCAGGAAAACTAGTTAACAGGTCTGGTATGACAATCCTCTACACAGCAGCGTTTGGTAGGCCCTGGGTTGCTAAGCCCACCCTGTCCTGATGTTCCCCGGTGTGCGGACGGGTGTGTGCACGAGCAGAGCTAGCAACGCCTCTGCAGAGGGCCAAACCCGACATGTTTACGTTTGGTGTGACTGAACCCAGAACCTGAAGGGGCTCTAGCAGTCAGACAGAAAAGCAGTCTCCAGGCGGTGCTTGCCTGAGGAGCTAGGGGTTTCCGAACCACAGCGTTTCAGCAGTGTTAGACCTTACCCGGAAACTCAGCTGCCTCCTCTAGACCTTTCTCCACAACACAGGAGCATGCTGGCTATGAAGCGAGGACTCTGTGTGCAAAGGGGATACACCCGCCAGCATCAGTGGGGTGCCCCAATGTCTGCTCTAAAACCAGTTTTCTTTCCTGCACTCCAGTCTCCCTACAACCTCCTCACATTGCTTTGCCCCACTCATCAGCCCTCTAGCTTCTCCACTTGTCCCTTTTGTCTCCTGACCCAAGCAGCTATTCTTTCAGACTGAGCCACAGTGCACCTCCGCAGTGCACCGCCTCAGGCACTGGAGAATGGAGAAATCTGGCATGGTGCTTCCCCTCTGTTTGCTTTTGACACCCGGCCACCTTATTTCGCCTTCCTCTTGAGGAAGATCATTAGCCCCAAAGTATGATCTAAACCTTCCTCCCTGGCGGGACAAAGGGGGACGTCCACCTGGTGGAAGAGCTCACCGGTTTCCACTGTTCTATGAATAATGCCACCCAATCAGTTATCCCTGCTGCCCAGCTTTCACCCAAGCTAAAATACCGGCGCCTCAAGGCAGCTGTGACCTCAGTAGGGATGTTGCATCTAGTATTTGGGGGCAGTAGCCTCTGTATTGGTATGAACGTGAGGTACCTGGGCATCCCCCAGAAGCACAGGCACATGTAAGGGGCACTTTGTCAATTACTGACTTCCGGCAGTAAACACCGCATTGTGGCGCTTACTGGCAGGTGTAGCAGGTGTAGCTTCATGTCAGCAAGTCAGGCCTCCAGGGATTCCTGAGCCCTGTGGAGAGCGCAATTCCCCAACAGTGGATGGAAGCCCCATTGGCCGTCCTGCAAACCATCTGCCAAGGACACACACTCCAGGACCCTTGGGATGAGGGTTCTTTCATTTCCCCAACTACTTTTCCTCAGGGCTCACTGCACTGGCTGCATGGGCCAGGTCAACATTGCGGTGATGCTGACGAGCAATCTCAGCCCAGCTAGGCTCCACCCCTGACTGCTTAGCCAACACCTAAGCAGCTTCCAAGCCAAGCCAGACCTGGAAAAGTTTATGGAGTGCACCCCACCCACCCCACACCCATCAGCACAGAGGCACAGGGCACCCAATTCCCCAGTAGCGCATAAACAAGCAAAGGCCAGGGCTGGACCCCCAGGGAAGACCGTGTGCTTCTCGCTACAGGGCAAGCCTGACAGCAGCCTGGCACAGACATCTGAGCCAGGAGTTAAATGACCTGTCCGAGGCTTCCAGGGACAGTCTACCAGCCCGTGACATGCCTTATGCAGTAGCACAGGACAACCGCAGGCCTTGGTAAAGCGTGGCGTCTGCCCCTTTCTACTGAATAGTATCTATGTGCATTTTCATCTCGTAATGGTATATAATCCTTAAGCAGCTATACTCAGTTTGTATCCTATAGGGTCTTGGTCTCCACAGTATTTACTAAAAGAACTTTACACTTGAAGAAATACCGCAACTACTTTTTCTTCTGTCTTAGTATAAGCCATTCAAGTTGCCTTGCCCTGAATTAAGAATACATACTAATTTCCAGGACTCCTGTAACCATATCCAACAGGCAGCTTGCCTTCCAGTTTTCAACCTGCTCCTGTAAATAAGTGTACGGCAGGAAGGCCTTTAAACAGTCTGTTTTGAACTTTAGGCTTAAATGATTTACAAGCGCATCCTCCAAAGACTTTGTTGCTATACTAACCAAATCCCTTAGCATTAAAAAAGTGATTTCCCCATTTCTTCTTCCCAAGTTCTGAGAAAGGGCAAGAAAATGTCTAAATAGCCCCCAATAAAAGGGGGGGGGGTGTCAAGCCAGTAAAGACCTCAGGAGTGGTGGTGCTGGTTCTTAACTACTAGCTGCCTGAAGGCTATGATCAGATGTGTGAAATGCCCGGGTGAAAGCAAATGAGACATAAGCCTGTTGCCAACAGACAGGTGCAGCCCTGAAAACATGGTGAAATGAAGCAAACTCCTTAAAAGAGATCACTTCTACCCACCACCTCTAAAGGACTGTGCTCAGCAGCTCTGGACTGCTTGACAGTGCAGGTAGCCGAGAACCAGGAAAGTTATCAGCATGAACAAGAAAAGCAGAAAAGAGATTTTTCTGGAAAATAACCAACCACCGTTGATGAGTCTATCCTGCATCAATGGATCTTTCTGGACTCTAACACCAGTTTTGACTTTAAACACTGCTGCATCTCTCTGTACCCCTTTCTACGCTGTGCCAGGGTTGCCAGGGTTCCTTCAAGTGACCATAACAGTGACACCGCCACCCACAAGCCTGTCTTTAACTAATTAATAACATGAAAAAGGATTTTACTACACACACATATTTAATATTTCCCAAACTGCAGGGAATGTTTACATGTACAGACAGAAGTGTGCGTTTAATATAGTTTAGTGTCATCCTACACAACTGGTGTTGACATTTTATAATTTGAGATTTGGAAATTAATTTCAAGTACCTGTACTTTTAACAAGTGTGCATGAAAGATTTTTTGCAAGGCATACAGGCTTCTGCATGATAGATAACTCCCCCCACATATTGTTATGGTTGGTTATATTTAGACAGGTAAAACCAGGAGCAAACATCTGTCAGACTGATTTTTTACTTTTTCATAAGTGCAACTTTTTAATAAAAATTTACATATAGATAAACAATCCAGATTTTTGAAACTTTAATAAGATTTTAAAAACATCATGACTTTGAACTCAAAAACATACACGTTTAGTACACAAATATTGTAATATGAATCAACTCCAACTCCATTTGAAAACATGTGAATCAAATTACAGTTTTAGAAGTTAGTAATTCACATTTAAGCAAGTTAGCGCCTTGCTGAATTCAGCCATTGTAAAAAAAGAGACTTAGTGCATATTGTGATGGCACAATGTGCTTTTGTACCATTTTGTTGATTTTTTTCACCTTATTAAACAAGATCAAGTTCTTGAAAGTTGGTAGATAATGCCTAACTTCCTATGACGTGAAATTGCCAATGGTAACAGTTACATTTTGTAACAGAACACTTTCTATAGATTTCTTCTATCTTAAAATTTTAAAAGCAATCATTTGTAAGGATTGCATCAACATCAAATTTAGCAGAGGAAGATCAAACTTTATTGAAACTGCTTGCATACAAAATATATTGCACTATAACCAAACAAATGTCAACATAAAATCCAATCTGTTGTCGCTAATATGTACAGAGAATATTGCCCAAGAGCAGTTACATTACAAGGTCATTCTACCTTGGTTAATTATCTACAGTATTTTAAACCAAACAGCTTACAGATGATGTGTGCAAGGTACCAATTTCTGTTTTCAAATACTATACATTCCCAGAATAAATAACTAGAAATCAACATTAATTTTGGCAATACTTTTAAAAGACTTTTTAATATTCTTGAAATCATGTGCAGTTTGTTGCCATTTTTATATGCTTATTTGTATGCAAGGAAAAATAACTGTAAAATGAAAATTCAAAGAAACAAAACTCACAAAGTACATCAGAGGCAGAACTTCGGTCTGGACGGCTCTGTACAGTTTCAGTGGCACCCCGACTTGGAGTTATTTTGTAAGAAAAATATAACATCTTAAGGTGAAGGTCCTTCACATATTTTTCCTCAGTAAAGTTCATTCATTAAAAAAAAAAAAAACCCTTCAAAATCAAAACCCAATGCGTAAAAAAAAAAATCTAAAGAAACAGAAGTATTATTTCTTAACCAATCATAGTCTGCTTTCCAATTCTGCTTATCCATTAGACCTAATATTTCAAAGTTCACAAAACATTTCACCTCCTTCCAATGTTTCTTAGACAAAGCACCTGTACTTCACAGGATTATTATGCACACATGGAAATGACCTTCCTATCTCCCCTAAATAAGCTTGAAATTAAAATATGAAAAACTTCACAAAACTTGGGGAGGGCAAAAGAAAAAAAGGCTCTACATTAAAATTGGTCATCAGGCCAAAGAGCAGGCATGTCCTACTAACTTTCAACCAGGACAATTTTACTCCGCGTTGAAAGCAGTTTAGCCTCTCTGAAATGAAAAGACAGTTATTTCTTCTGTCTATACAGAACAATTACACATCCCTCTCAATAACACTATTTGTCAAACTTCAGTGCAACAAAACAAAAACAAAAACAAGTCCTTATTCTTTATACTGCCTAACCTGATGTTTATGTAAGGAAAAAAATATGGAAAGCATGCATTCCTCTATAAAGTACTAATGTTTGACAGGGTTTGCTACATCTTTAACATTTAGTGTTTCCAACTTATCTTCCCTGAACTCTGCATCCAAATATAATATTCCTACCTGCCAAGATATAAAAAAGGCACAGATCATACAACTTTTTTTTTTTTGCTAATGAAAATGACAAATGTCACATCACACACATCCCAAGGTCCACTAAAATACTGAAAAAGTGGACCAGAACATAAACTGACACAGGACATGAAATGACATAGTAGTTCATGGAGACTTCTATATAAGATTGGAAACAGAAGTTTGGTTACTATAAATGCTATTTTTTTTTTTTCAGAATAACTGAAAACATAGTGGTGAGTTCTCACCAATGTAGGGAAGTGGTCCAAATTAATAAAGAGTATCACTGCTCAGCAGCACTTAAAAAAAAAAAAAACACCCAAAATTCTGTTCTGAAGTGCTAAGTATGTTTAGGGGCAAGATTTCCAAATTTTGAGATAGCTTTTTGCGCAAACCTGAAAATTGCTGTTTATGGCCAAAACCAAAAAAAGTAAAATTCTTAACAGAATTTGTGTTCATTTCATGCCCTGTGCCATCTTGCCTACTATTTGTCTTTGGCCTAACAAAGTTTTCTAACATGGAATAAGAAGTACGGAAACGGTCTAGGAAAATGCAACTGCAGCATGACGCAGTTTAGGGCGCTCCATTCACAAGGGGCTGCTGCCCATCCACGCTGTCTGGCTTTTCCTTCTTCTGGTTACGATCTTTACCCGTGCGCAGCCGATTCCCTTCACTGGAGGTATTCTGTAATGTTTTAGTGTGGACACTCCTTTCATTATTGCAGTCAACTCTGATCTAAAACAAGTTACAGTTGTTATATACACAGACTATATAGCCTAGTGTAATCTGTCATTGGCCTGACATGAAATTTAAGACTGAAGTGTAAATTCCACATTAAAAGGGAAAATGGAGGTAAGAATAGAGAAGTACAAGAAATCAAGGTCAAGCAAGATCTTTATTTGGTCTGTGATTTTAAAATACTCTTCTTCTGTCACTGGAACACATTGGTCATCTCACTGCGTCCAAACTTAGATTAAATACTCAGAACGCTACTGTTGTCTTCTAAGCAGGATAAAACAGTGAGAAACAAGCAAATAAAGTGAATTATTATAAATGATTACCAGAATTCTATAATGCTAGAACTAAAAAATAGGCGATTTTTCAAAGATTTTGAAACCCATGAGGAGAAACACCTTCTAAGATCTAGCTCTTCCAACTTTCCCAGGTTAATGACTCAATTCACATATTAATTAACCTTTAGTTTACTTTTATATATTACCATGGTTAAGATTGTCTTTCTCCTGAGAGCTCCCATAATATTAGAGTAGAAAAATACAGTAGAACTTGAACTCTGTCTAAACACTAAGGCCAGTCAGTAAAGGGAAATTTGAAGATACTAGTTTCTATAACGACTACAATCTTAGAAGAATGTAGAGATGAATCCAATTAGGAGATAATATTGAAAAATTTGCATAATATTTTTAATGCCAACAGTGAGCACTTAAACATTTCCAAGAGAATTTCAGATGTTGTAGAAAAGGAAGATAATGTTGACCAATGGGCCTAGCACAATTATAAATCTTTATGTGCTTTAAAATAAATGCTATATTTATCTCAAAATGCTTCACTGTGATTTCAGAATGTGCTAAGTGTTAGGCATGGGTGAAAATTTCAAATGCATGGTCAGCAGGGTTCAGTGTTTTCATTTGGATCTATTCTCATGGGTACATAGAAAACACCTTTTTATTTGGTGTTCCATCTTGATTATAAGTGCAATTATAAAGTATAACTCTGGCTCTCCCTGGTGGCACAAGTGGTTTGGATGCAGCACTCCAAGCTGGCTATAGCCACTTCAGTGCAAGTTTGATCCCCAGCCCCGGAGGTGACCCACATGGCGCGGCAGACCTCTCCTGACCCGCCTGCTGCTCCCTTCAGCAGTTTACTTCATTAATCTGCCTGTTCTGCTTCCCACTCTGTCTCTGGTGAAACCTCTCACCACCCCCTGTACCTTTGGCTTGTATCCCAGTTCTGTATGAATAATCTTTAAAAAATATATAACTGGATTTTTAAACCAAAGTGGTCAGACCGCCTTGTTCATCTAATATTTCAGTTTGCAGGAAGTTAAACAACTGGTACATAAATGTCTTAAACACCTCTGTCAAACACAGGCACATATATCACTTCAATAATCTTCATCTAGGTCTAAGATCTTTCCTATGCTGGTCCTTAAGAACCCAACAGGAGTTAGCACCTACTTAGAACTGCTATGGATTCTAGCACATATTTTGTCATGAACTGTCTGCTCTTAAGAAAGGTATCTTTCACTCATCTTGGATGTTGATACATTCTGTGGTCAAGGAGGAGCCCTAACTGCTTGGCTTAAAAATATAAAGTAGAAATGGAGAAAACAGTGTTCTGGGAATCAGACACTGAATGAGGTTCAAACATCACTCCACTGCAGACTATATGGCAACTGGCAAAAGACGGTGTCTTTCTAAGTTCAGTTAATTGACACCTATAAAATGGAATAATAGAACTACTTACCTCAGGGGGCTGCTGAAAGATTAAATGAGATAAAACAACACAAAACACTTAGCAAAGGTGTCTGGATATGCTTAGGGGTAAATTTCAAATTTATTAACGATGGGTTCATCAGCACAGCTGATGAGAAATGGAGAAAGGATTCTCACAATAGAGACTGGCTGTGAACAAGCAGCTGGCTGATTTGCCAGATACTAGCTGATTAGCATCAGTCCTGTCACGAGTATTACCTGTGAGACATACACCTGCCTTTCCTTACCACTCAAAGGGGACGCCCTATCCCTGCAAGTCAGGGGACGAGGGACCCACAGGGTTTACTCAGGTCTTTTAGCACATTCCATAACGTTCTTCTGGAGGAGGGGCCATATTGTGGCCAATGTGGTATTAAAGTTATAATGTGGCTGTCAAAGTCTTGACAAATGCAGTTAAACTGCATAATCTCTGAAAAGTCTTGTGTATTTGTCAAGCAGGACTAAGATTGCCTACAACTGTAACACTGAAAGAAAAATGTTTCATAAAATCAAATGTATAACCTTTGAATGTGAGTGAAAATAAACTCGACTCACAAATCTCGAGCTACCACAAACGAAACAACGGAGATGCAAGCAGCACATGGGTTTACCTGAAGGGAGCCATCTGCTGTTCTCCCCTTAGCCTCTCTGGGATTACGTGGACGGTTATCTGTTCGGGAGTGATCGTCGTTTCCTGTAGGGACATTTTCAAAAGGTTCAACCATTACTGAAATTGAAATGTTTATTGGAAGTTCTTTATTCCCACACCCTCCAATTTATTCAGACTAACCACAACATCTAAAATGCAGTCAACAACCAAATGATTCCAGTTACCTACTAGTTAATAACCTAGCAGACTATTAAGAAACAAATCATGCTGCAGGTGTTGCAAGTCAAATCAACGGTGTCAAAGATCAGTTTTAGTGATTTAGCAGGTACTATGTTGAGAACCCCAAAGAAACTAAGCTAGGTAACTGTTTATTCATAAGTTCTAGATGAAGCACAGGGGAAAAGGCTGTCAAGTCTGTCAATTACCACACGAGAGAAAAGCTGCGCCTTTCAGTGGTGGTCGGCACTCAACAGTACAAGCAGCTCTTGGTAAAATGTCATGGAATTAGCACGGTGGGCCGCAGAGCTTTACTGCTCTCAAAGTTCACCCATTTCTTACATGGAAAGCTCTGTACCTTTGAAGCCACCTCCGCGTCCTCTTCCTCCCTGTCCTCTTCCTCCACCTCCACGCCGCCGTCCGTCCCCTCTGCGCAGGAAGTTCTCCCTCTCTTCCTCTGTTGGAGCTAATGACCAATCACTGAGTTCGTCTCTGTGGTCAGATTCTGTTTCAGAAGCATTTGATGCTTCAGAATTAGTTCCTATCGAGAGTTAAAAGTTATATACCGTTGTCCGACTTAAAAAAAAAAAGTTAGGTTAACAGAAGCTTCCAGAGATGTTTCAGGGGTAATCCAATACTCTGCCCAATTTGCAAGCCCAAAGAGTATTATCACCTTTCATTTTTAAAAACGAATTACTTTAAATTCAAAACAAAGGGTTTCATAATATTGAGGCAACTTAGGTTACATCTTTGGTTTTCACTTAAAATGTCAAAAGATACTCTACTAGTCATCTAAGTGATTATGCCACAATCCTGAGCATGGCAAAGCATTAAGCAGCTGTGCTCCTTTAACATCTGCACTCTCTGGAGGGAACTTGTCTACAATAGTTAAATGCAATACCTCGGTTAACAAAACCTCTATAAAGAGTTCCTTTTGGCCCAGGGAGAGAAGGGAACCTATACCTTTTTAGTCACCTGACAGGGTGGTAAAGAAGACCACTATAGCAACAAGGAAGGGTCTCTTGTGTGATCAGGGACTGGACCTAGTTGAAGGGGGATATGCTTGCCTGAAGCTTGGCTCACAGCTTTCCCCTCCCAATGGAATCATTTCTCATTAATAAAGGAATTACTGTAATCACTCCTTATGCCCGGATTATGATATAGGGGGCAGGAGATGGTCCCATGGTAAGGTGGGACACTTCACTGGCAAAAAGAACTGACTACTGGTAGGGGGGTTAGCTGTTAAGAGTCAAGGTTGGCCTTAAGAGTAAGTATCTCTCCCCCACTCCAGAACATCAACTCTACTACCTTTCTTTTTCTCTGTTGGAGCTAAGGGCCAATTATAGCTTCACCATTCTAGCTTCATTCCTGTGGGTTTTGGAGGCTTTGCCATCTTAAAGAGTTACTTTTTGAAATGCAAATAGTTGTGAAATGGATCATACCTGATACCATCATTAGCAAGTTATATAGTAGATACACAGCTGGGTAAGAAAGACAGTAGGTACTGGGAGGTAGGGGCAGCGTTCAGTGAAAGGTACTGGGAGAGAAGAAAGAAGCACTGACAGAAGAGCTGGGGAGGCAAAGAGAAACTTCGCCTACTTCTTTGACTGTGCCTAGGGCTGACTTTGGCCATGCCACTCAAAATCACCTCATTGAGAGCCACAGGATGCAGACCCCTGATTTACACAGTCCATCCAGCAAGTATGACCAGCACATGCCTGACAAAAAATGAGCCACAGTACACAAATGAAAAAGGTTTTGGCTATACAGTAATAAAATCAGGAAAGGCCTTACGAAAGTCATTAACACACGAGGGCTTAAGCAAATCCATCCCCAGTCAGAACATGGACAGAAATCACACCTGCCCTGTGAACTCTGTGTTATCATCAGGTTTTATTCTGCATGTCTCTTGCAACACAATTTGACCCATTGGGATTTGGAAACCATGTAGTGAGAAATTGTTAGATAATGGGGTTCTAATGAATATTAGCGATTAGCAGCTATTAAGTCTAGGAACAGATAAAGTTACTGAGGAAAATGCTTAGTTTGTACCTGAAGTATATCCAGGACCGCGTCTGCCGTGCCCCCTATTTCTGTAAGGTCTACTACCTCGACCCATGCCTTGACCATCATCAGCCACATAGCTTTTTTCCTTATCTGTACGACTTGGTGGTGGTCTAGAACTAGCTCCAATCTGTCGCAACTGCTCATCAATTTGTAATCTCTCCAAACGCAACTGGTCTACTTCCTATTTAAAATATACAAGATAACAGTAAAAATAATTTGACATTTTACTTAATAATACCTTTCTCCTTTGCATCAGATAAAAAGTATACTAGAAATATTTCTATTTCAGCTCTAAATTTATAGTAAACAGTTACACAAAATTATCAGAAAATCGAATGGTTTCCTTAAAAAGAAACTTACTACAGGTAACAGATTATTGATGTCCAGAATTAGAGACAGAACAAAAATATTCAGCATTAAAATTATACTGAATAGAATTTTAAGCTGTTTGATTCAGCACTATTATCTAATAGAATCTGCTAAAGCATCAGATATGCCAACTTTGGGACCTTTTGATGACAGGATATTGAATACAACAATTCTAAATGTATGAATACAGATTAATGACATTTAAGGCTTAATGAACTAACCTTAAAAAATTACACATTATATATAATCTTATTGAAATATATTCGCCAGTTAATATATTAAAAAAACATTTGATTTGGATGTGATTATGCAATTAAGAAACAATTCTTTTCTGAAAACGCATATATTCATTATATGGGGTGGGGGGGGTTTCTACTTCATAGCTGTCAAGAACAGTGTGGTCTCACATCATGCCTTTAAAACCTGTTGACTACAAATCTGATAGAACAAGTATGATAAAGAGAATCAATTCCACTGACTAAAACATAAAACTAGGGTCTGCTGACAGACCTTGCACACAATGTTTCCCATTGTGTGTTCTATCTGATCCAGAAAAGAGCCAGATTTTGACCCTTGTCCTTCAAATCTGCCCATGTACTGGCTACAGGGAACTGGACCTTATAACACTAGTGCCAGGCTGTTTCACTTAAGCAAAAGCTGTAATTGGGACTCTCAACATGAAACCTAATTGGAGAAGCCCTTGTGAAGTTAAGTTCCTAAAAGCTTGGTTGAGGCAGCTTCTAAAAAAAAGGACCTAGGTGAGTTTCATCTATGCTCTGAACTACAATTTGTTTCACAAAGAACTTGTGCAAAACAGACTGCAGCTGAGTGAGCGACTTACTCTAAAAGTACAGTAAAAACTCATGGAATGGGCGTTTCTTGCAAACAGAATAGCAGTACACATTATCCCACTGGGGCAAAGCAGTCACCTTTTGGTGAGAGATGCCAGGCCCAACCAAGGGAAGATCTGATGATGGAAAGAATGGCAACAGGAGAGCTGCTGGTAACCAAAATAAGATACTAAATTGTGAAGAACAAATCAAAAGTTCTAAGAAAAGTATTAGTCAAAAGAGACTAATACAACACAACCCTAACTCTCCAGGTGTTCATAATTTTAAAGCTAACACTGTGGAGAAAAACACATACAAGACATTACACAAAAACAAACTATAAGACAAAAACAAATAAGCAACTCATAGGGGTATCCTATCCATGCAAACCTTGCTGGATGAAACCTTCCCACTTTCAATTATTAACTGACTGTAAAAATAAGAGGAATGCCTGGCTACTGTACTTTTCCTTCCTTATTTGCATACAAGTGGAAATTGTTTTTATTTTCTTTTGACTAAGTTAGAAAAAATTCTTGAGAGCATAGCCATAAATAAAATGGAAACTTGGATTACTTTGGAAACACTACTTAGTCCCAGTTACAATTTTCATACACCTGGGCAGAAATAATTACTAAAAAGTGATATGAAGATTTCATTTCATGAAATTATAGAAAATTCTGGCCAAGACTGGAAAGACATCCAGTCTGATCTAGGAAAGTAACCAGCCTCAAGCCACATGGCTAGCTCACGGCAGTAGAGACCAGAAGCAAGTGGCCAGGTGCCAACCCAGTGCTCTTTCCCTCATGTCTGGCAGCCTCCTGGCTCCCGCCTTCCCGTGTGCAATCTAGGGGCACAGTTATACAAACACTAACTAAAACGCGTATTTGTAAGAAGACACGAATCATTTATATTTTACATAGCAGTATAGAGAAATAGCTACGATTAAACATTTAAACAGAGGACTTCAGAAAAGGCTGGGATTTCCTTGATGTAACTAACATAAAAGGGAGACAAAGGCAAGTGTTACACAGACACAAAATTTAGCCTGGAAAAAACTTGCAAAGTCTCTTCCAAGGATCAAGTGGATGAAAAACTATATGCAAGATTACTTAAACTGAATGAATGAGCTTAACAAAAGAATAATGGGAAATAGAATGTATTGAGAACTGGGATGCTGATACTTAAGAAGGGATATAACAAGCTAGACAAAATATTTTCTCTATTACCTTCTATAGGTCATTCATTGTAATAATGCACAGCCTAAAATGAACCCTAGCTGCTGAAAGACTTACTATGGAGTTACTATTTTAGTGTGAAAGGATTACAAGGTAAAGATCTTCCTGTTCTCACCTTTAAATAGTTCAGGTGATAATCCAAAAGAACAGTGGCATTAGCGATGCTGTCCTTTGTTCCCACAAAAACAAATGGTACCATACCCTGGAAAAAAAAAAGTGACAATAATCCTATAAAATGAATGACGGCTTCATCTGGGAAAAAAAAAAAAAGCACAATGCAAAGAATCACAATCCCATCCCTAGCACCGGGTCCTACAAACAGTAGGCACACAAATATCTGCCGAAAACTGGAATCAAAACATGACCAAAAAAGTAGTGGTTGGCTTAATTTATACATTTACTGTGAATAAGGACAGAGTAATATAGCAACTTCACAAGCCTTAACATAAGACGCATAAACTAAAGGAATACTATTATACTCATTTACCACAGGTTTTATCTGGATTGCATTTTAAAGAATTAACTTAGATACTGGAGTACAAAAGGAGAAACTAAATCTATTTTGCGAAGTCAGCAGAGTATAAACAAGACACCTAAATTAGAATATATTGAAGTGTACTGAGCAAGTAGTCTGTGAGGGGAAAAACTAGGTATATTGATAAACATTACATTTAGCCCAAATAAATTTCAATGATGAACTCTGAAAACTGTAAAAGCTTGAATCATCAAAAGTTTGCTTTTTAACACTACTTTTTACGTAGGGATAATTTCTGAAAAGGAATAAAAATGTATTCTTCTCAGTCATCAGTATACATGAGAATACAACTATCCTTTGTCATAAGTTATAGGGAAACTTAGCCATGGCTGTGCAAGCTAACATCTGGCCATTACGACAAAGTTGAGAATATTCGGTCATCCACATGGCTGCTGATCTTCACAAGCAACCTACAAAAGGCAGACAGTAGCTTTGAGGCAACCATAACCTTCCCAGGTGAAGTTTCTAAGTGCGAGAAGCCAAAAAAAATCCTGCTACAAAATCCCCCTCTTCTGTATAGAGCCTTCGCTGGGAGGCGAGACTACCGCAGGCTGCTCTAGGCCGCTCGGTCCAGCACACCCCCATCTGCCAAGGCATATGGGGCTTGGGTAGATTCTTTTCCTTTTCCTTCCACGGGACTGTGGCTGTCGATGGGGAACAAAACTGAACAATTAGAAACTGTCGGGAGACTGACCTCCACCTGGCAGGTAAAGCAATACTTCCTAGTAGCACGACCACCTGAAGAGTCAGGTGCCACAGAAAATCTGTGGGGACTTTAGACGAATTTTTTCCATCAAACAATATACAAGCTATGGAAATAATTAGCGTGTAGATAACATCTTTTCTCGGAAACATTTTTGATTGTTGAGTCGTTGCCCAAGACGACTTTGTTACAAAGCAGTTAGCTGTGCCCTTCCTGCTGGAGCACATGTGACCAGAATAAGCTTTGAAGCCCTATGTCACACAGACTCAGGTAGGATGACGTTGGGGAAAATCATTTCTCTTTGAAGCTGCCATCTGTCCGCGTGCCCCAGTGGTACTCTCATTCAAGCACGTGGCTGATGGGCCAGGAGAATCAATTAACACGAAGGCAGCAAAGAGCAGAATGGTGGCCACCTTCAACATGGATGTCAAGAAAAGCAATTCCCTGTACTAGGTGCAATCTGGGCTGCCCAGTGGAGGGGAACACCCACCTGCAATAACGTTCCTCCTTATACCATACACAGTTTGCCTTTCCTAACAGTTTCTCCACGAATAGCTCTCAATGGCCAGTAGGGAGCCCTGCTCTTAAGAACCTCACAACGGGGCTGAGGATTTCAAGTAAATGTTAACGTAGTACGTGTTCGATGGGGGTGAATATGGGGATGAACATGGTGATGTGAAAGGGAGAAAGCGCTTGAGCCAGTTGGGGGTGGGGATGTGTGGCAAGTACACAAGGAAAGCTATACAAACAGTCAAGTCAAAATGAGGCACAAGCTGGATGAGAGAGTGCTCTGGGCTGAGGAAATGTGTGTCACATCTAGAAGCGACAATGTGTGACAGTTTAGAACACTTTTAGTACTTCACTATGGTGGAAGCTTCTCTGGAATGCAAGTGAAGGAGTGAGAAATGATACTGGACAGGAGACTGTGAAAGAAAAGCCTTGTAAGGAACAGGGAAGATGTGAGCTTTCTCCCCAGGGTAATGGATCCATATACCTACCAACGCTGCTCCAGCATCCCCACACCCTGAAGATCATTTCTAGTCTTCGGAATAAACAGTAAGTATGAAATTACAATGTATTTTTTAAGGAATGTTTTCCTACCTGCAAAGCCTTGAGTTCAGCTTTCTGGGATTCTCCTGCTACAACGGATGAAACCACTAACACCGAAAGCAGAATAGGAATGCAAGTGATGTCATTAACTATAACGAATGGTACACAGAAGCTGAACGCAGGACTACCCAGCCACCTATGAATAGGTTATCCCAAATTCTGAAAACCAGTCTCTAAGATACGGGCACAGAAGCTAAGTAGTGCATCTCAGAAGGTATATTTGGCTACTAAAACCCTAAACATTTCAAGAGATAACAGCAGGGAGGAATAAATGTCCTCCCTCAAAAGAAAAACATGACCATTAAACCCCGTGTTTTATGCATACAGCATAAGATTTGTCACTGTGAATAAACTGAAAAGCAGGTATCACTTTGGTTTGAATTATCGCATAAGGGGGCAATCAGATTTGAAATAAATAGAACATTGTTAGCCTATAAGCCTGACCAGAGAAAACACACGGAACACCAATTGCGACATTTTAGCCAAAGAAAATACTTTTAGTATAATTCAAAGTGACAAATATTTCTTACCCTCTGGACTTTTGTACTGTTAGGTTGAGAAAAATGAGCGCTGTTCTCCTTTATATCTATATGTTTTTTATCTTCTGAGGGAGTAGGTCCAACCCTTGAATTACTGGAAGGTAGGGAATTTGGTGGCATAATCTCCTTGGTAAAAACACAAAATACAAAAGAGAAAAATAGGACCAATTTAAAAATACTGTAGTTAGCTCCATCATTGCATTACTGATCATATTTTTAGAATATAAATGATAAACAGTTTTTGGCAGAAAAAAATTAGAAAATGCAAAAATTATGCAATAAAAGTCCTAAAAGGCCTAGCTTCATCCAAAAGAATGTTTTCCATCCATGGTTCATGGATGGAATTGGAGAGGGCAATGCTAAGTGAAACAAATCAGAAGGAGAAAGACACACAACACCAGATGGTGTCACTTACATGTGGAATACAGTGGAACACAGCAAAAGGTCCATCAAAACCAAACCAATGATAAACTCTTAGCTTCTGACTGAGGCAACCACAGGTGGAAGGAGGTGGAGTAGAGGAAGCAAGGCTAGAAAGGGCCCAGGGGAATGTGGTAGAGGATAGTTGGGCAGTGGAAGTGGGCAGTGTATGAAAGTGCACAAGTATGTCTGTAGAGATCTGAACCTGTAACTCATGCAGCAGAATCAAAGATGTAAATGTAGTTCACCTCAATATTATAATTTGGGGGGGATAAGAAGGACATGGACACACACACACACCAAACAAAATACTGTACTGTATCAATTAAAAAGAAAAAGAACCTTTTCACAAAAAAGGGCTGGACAACATGTGAAAATGAGCGATTTGGGGAGACCAAGATCTGAATCAGCACAGAAGAGCACCTCATCAGTCTGCTACTCCCACACATACTTTAGAAGTCACAATTGGGCCTCCCTGGTGGCTCAAGAGGTTAAGTCACAGCACTATGAAGCAATCCATAGCCACTGCAGCATGAGTTCAATCCCTGGCCAAGGAGTGACCCACAGGGAACAGCAGACCTCTCCTGTCTCCCCCACTGCTCCCCTCAGCAGTGTACTTCGTCCATCTGCCTGTTCTGCTCCCCACTCTGTCTCTGGTGAATCCACTCAACCCCTTCCCCACACACCTCTGACCTTCACCCCAGTTCTTGTATGGCATAAATAAATTAATTTTTAAAAAGGTCACCGCCAAGGGCCCTCCCTGGTGGCGCAGCGGGTTAAAGCGCAGCACTGAGAATCTGAGGCCACTTCCGCATGAGTTCGATTCCCGCCTGCCACCTGCCCCGGAGGAGACCACATGGCAAGCCAGACCTCTCCTGACCCGCCCGCTGCTTCCCTCAGCAGTGTACTTCGTAGATCTGCCTGTTCTGCTCCCCACTCTGTCTCTGGTGAAGCCTCTCACCGCCCCTGAGCCTCTGGCCTGTACCCCAGTTCTGTATGAATAAATAAATAAATCTTTAAAAAAAAAAAAAAAAAGGTCACCGCCAAAAAGCATTTATTTGTGAAGATAAAAGTGAGGATTATCAAATTTAAAAATTGGGATATTATGCCCAGAAAAAATGTGAAGTATACAAAATCAACACACATACACAAAACTACAGCAGCGGAAGAGTAAAGCTAGAAAATGTAACCTGTGTCCCAATTTTGTCTGACAGCAATATTGATATCTGAGAAGTACTTTTTACAATTTTCCCCTTCATGATGACCCATTTTAAATTTTCACTGAAAAATCACATGTAAAGGGGTAAAGGTGACTGATCCCAAGTCACTGCTTTGGAGGAGAGAAGCTGTGCATATGAGAGCACTCACTGGCATTCACATGAGGTGCATATTACAGAGACCTCTAAATTAGTTGTGTCAAGTAAAGCAAACAAAAACTTTGACGTTTCACTGGGCAAACTAGGAACATATTCACTAGAACATACCTCTTCTTGTGGAACATTTTTCTCATTTTCAGCCTCAATTCTCACTCTCACAACTCCTGACTTGTCCACAATCTCTTGAATCAGTTTTCCATTTTTTCCTATTACTTTGCCTAAGTCAAAAAAAGAATAATTCACGTTTGATTTTTTTTGAAAAACATACATCAAACCAGTAAGCACACCCTACCCCACCGTGAACTATTCTCTCTCTCTCTCTCTCTCTCTCTCTCTCTCTCTCTCTCACACACACACACACACACACACACAGTTACTGGCGCCTGGGTCCAGCTACTCACTGCCTCTTGAAAGCCAATACTCAAAGAAACAAGAGTTGATGGGAGGCAATCAGGAGGCAGCAACCTGACCAAAAGGCAGAGCACTGCCTCAAAGGCCACACATACATAGGCAAGTATGCACAGGTGTCTGTAAAGGAATTTGTAGGCATATCAGACTATGAGACCTCAAAACCAGAGCTGAATTTTCCAAGGGAATTAAACTGGCTTTCTGTTTTTATTAGGTCATTGTTGTTTAAATTCAGACAAGCAGGTAGTAGAGTTAATGAGTACTCATGTGATGGATGGGAAATTTTAAATTTTGTAGGCAGTTCAAAGATAGGTTCTTTTTTTAATTTTTTATAACAGTTTATTTTTACATCATTTTGTACATTTTTTTTTTTTTAACCATCTCATTTGTAATCCCCGCAGGGATAGGTTCTTATTTTTATAAACAGGACCACTTCAGTACTTGCTGGTCCAGTGATATGCAGTACTTTTTCTGCAAAGTTTTACAAAAGGAATTAAGGGAAAAAGTAGATAATAGAAAATACATTGGCTTATTTATTTGACAATTTCAAATAAATTGTCTGATTGTGCCAGATTTAAGTCTGTTACTTTGCCCATGGTAAATTCTTTGGGAATTCTGTGTCCTATTTACAAAATACACTCTAGGCTTTAAAATTGACCTCAGTAAGTATATATACATCTCAGTAAGTATATATACATATATATACATCTCAAAGAAGCACAAATTCTTGAGGCCCATGCATTAATCGAGTAGTGCTCCTATGCATTACTCACAGATTACATGAGTATATTAAAAAGTGAAAGAGTTAAAAGACATTTTAAGATAAAGCAAAACAGTAACAAAAATTAAATATTATTCAATAACATCTATTAAAACTCCAAAGACTTCACATACCAGTGAAGGGATAGGCACTCAATTCTTTCCCTCGCTGTATAAAATCCAATTATATACTTAAACAGGAAATGACTATTTTTCAGGGCCATCATCACACATAGAGTAAAGCAAGGCACTGCAAATGTTAATAGCTACTGATTCTAGGACTGTGACTTACATCCGATTCCAAGGGTGTTCCAAGATACCTACAAAGCACCCTGGAACTGGCCATGTCCATTATGTGCTTCTCTTACCACCTCACCTAAGGAAGGGATAAGGGAAAACTGGAAGCCAAGATTTGCTTTGCACCAACCCTAGGTAAGAACCCAAGGGGCAGCCTTCTCACACCAAGATTTGATGGTCTTCACAGTGAACCAGCCTTGGCACCAGTGTGGTGGCCTTATCACTCTCACCATCTTGTCTGATTGGTCAGCAGTGAGGGAACACCTTCACCAGCACTGAATCAGAACTCCTGAGCTAGGTCATTTTGTCACTTATTTCTGCTCTTCTCTTCAAATGAAAAGGGAGGTGGGGTTGGAGAAGAGAGCTACATGGAGTGTTCCCACAATTTATTTTTAATCTGTAAAATAATCTGTTACAGATTAATGCTAATTTTCATATTAATTTCACATATTTTCATAAATTAATGCTAATTTTAATAAAGGTCTAAATAAGTTAGCAGCAATAAAAATAAGACTTTGGTGTGTTTCTATTCATATCTTAACTATCCTAAGTATAGTGTCTTAACTGTAGCTGACTGATTAAACCATTCACTATTGAAGTAGGTGAAGAACAAGCCAATTTGTAGAAAAGACAAATTCGTATACATATTAAAGTGTGAGAAATAAAGTGATCATAATTATGCTGTGGGACTCAGAGAGAACTCATGCAACACTCATTACATACTTCCCCAAAGATCTGGCCTGCCACAACCTTTACACAAAAATGCTTTCTGAAAACTCCCAACATTCCCTGTGTTGGGGTGGGAAATCTTTGACACAACATTTTCTATTTTATAACTGTAAACAAAAAAACAAGTTCATTGTACTTCAGCACCCTTTCTCATGAAAGATCCCTTCTGGTATCTTCTTTCTAGGTAACAGGTAAAATTTATTTTTAATCAAATAATCCAATGCTACAGTACAGTTATTTCTCAATACAAATTAACAGCTACTTCAGTTCTGCTTTATGAACAAGATAAAATCATTTATGAACAAGGGGAAAGAATGAGAGCTAACATTTAGAGTCCCTTACTATGCTTAGAACTCAGGAGACACACACATCCAGTCAGACACCTTCCCATATAACTATTACAACAAGTTTTGACGAGAACACTGTCACATTTGTTTTACAGGTGAGGAAAATAAGCTTCAAGGAGCCTAAGTCAGTTGTGTAAGATCAAACAGCCACTAAAAAGTTAAGTGGGACTGAACTCTAGATCTGGCGCTCCAAGAACTTTCCCCACCACCATACCATCTGTAAGACTCTTTAATGAAACCAATGCCCAACTTTCTACCTGAAGCCTAACTTTCCACCTGAAATCTTTTGAAAAAATGTCTATTAGCTATATTGTATAAGAAATTTTTAAATTTAAAATAACTTTTCTAGCTATACCATATATGAGGCTGCGTAACTACAAAAAAGGAGAACATCATGTGCAGCCTCCTTATCATGAGGTCATCAGGATAGTGTTACAAACATTTTCCTCCTATGCAACTGGTGTGCAAGTTACCTCACTAACATCACATAGTCATGGCTTGCAGTTGTCTGCAGTATATCGCTGAATAATTCTGCACTGTTTCACTAGTATTTATACTTTACCTTCAAACTAATTTTCTTTGGGAGAAAAACATTCCAAGTATTTTCTAATGACACAGAAACATATTTATTATTCAATGTTGACCAAAAAGAAGCAGGTTAAGTGGGTCTGAAACTATGTGAACAAAAAGCTCGGAAAGCCTTTGTTTTCTTCTTGAACATTTCCAAGAGGCATGCATTACTTATTACCAGTCATAATACCAAATTAAAACAAAAAGTGTAGACGGTACATCCCAATGTTACTCATAAACTACAAACATACGCAATGTTCTACTAAAACTGTACCTTGTTTTGTTATGTTCTACTAAAGAACAATTGAGAGGACTAGTGAAGAGTCCCTAGGAGTCTGCTTGCACTCATGATGGTGAGAGTCACAGGACAGGCGCTCAAGTCAACACAAAGAGCTCCTGCTCAGTTTTTAGAAAGCCTGAGAGCCCGGGGGCAGGGAGGAAGTGGAGGGGAATTGCAGCTTTGGGACTGAACTAGATTGAAATGACCTACAGATTTTCAGACCTTCAATCCCAACACAATCAAGGACACTGTAATTTTACAGACCCATAAAAGAAAGCAAACACCACTCTACTCCAAACTGCAAAGTTCCCAAATGGCATTCACTGTGTGTGGAAAGACATTCAGTTTAAAGAAGAGTACAATGTACAGTGAAGGGCTTATGCAAATATTTTCCTCCCAGGTACCAGTAGCTTTGAAATAAAGCATTACCTTTTGCATACCTTCTGCAAATGTAATCTGAGTATTTTACCAAATACTTTCTGTACACTCTAGCAACAGATCAATTTCAAAGATTACGCTTTGATTAAGTGACCCCTTGAGTGAAGGAAGATGGAATTCTACCAGTGTAAATTAAATGTCTAGCTTTTGTTTTCGTAGTATGTGTCAACAGCAGTTTCTGACTCACCAACTAAGTTCCGTGGAACTTGTATGACATCTTCAGCAAATTCAAGAAAGCTTCGAGCCTTTTTCACTGCATCCTGGTCCTAATAAAGAGAGGGTAATGTTTCAAGATAAATGATGCACAATCTGAAACAGTGAGTTTAGCAAAAAAAAAAAAAAAAAAAAAAAAACCAACAAAAACAAAACAAAACAAAAACTAGCAAAATATTTACCTCTCCATAAATATGAAATGTGCAAGTATCTTCATCTAGATCAATAGCTGTGACTCCAGGAACTTTTCTAGCTTGCTGAATATTAGCACCATGAGTACCAATAGCTAGACCCATCAGATCTTCTCGTACGATAAACTGTTCATGAAACCTTGAGGCAAGTTGCCTTGAACTCTGAAGAGAAATGTACACCTGATCAGTATCCTTTACCAACTATTACAACAATTATATTTAGGCCAGCCATGTAAATTATTTTGACCCTGTGTATTAGGGGCCTATAAATTAGTTTCAGTTGAAAACTAACAAGTTTTAGCAAGTATTTCCCATAGCATCAGCATACACACATTTTGTAGGTTACTGAAGGTCTATGCCATTTGATTTTTTTTTTTTTTGGTAACATGAAAAAGCTTGTTGACAATTTTCCAAGGTAACTTTTGAGAAACCTATTTGCAAGGCTGCCTTAGTTAACCAATGATATCAATGATAATTAAGAAGCAGAGCTGATGTTCCCATATAAAGACCAGTTCACTGGGTCTGACAGACTCAATATATTTAAGTAAAAAAAGAAAAACAAAACATATTATCAGCTTTACAGAAAATTATATTTTCACTTCATTCTTATTAAAGGATATTACTATATAAATTCCCCCCCCCCAGAAACAATGCCATTTATGATTTATCACTATGTAAAGTGGTCTAGACATCCCTTTGATGAAGTGACAGAATTAAAACAATACTCTACTACCCACTCAACCTGACAAAAAGAACTACAAAAATTATTTGTACCATCAATAAATTGAATGGTTACTGAATGTCAAAGATTTACATCTTATCTTACATATGCAACTGCATCATAAAATCAGAGTCTGTAAAACCTTGTGATCTGGATCCACAAGTAAGATTAATTCTTTCAAATATTTGGTGATGACGGTACCAATTTACAGACACCCCAACTTGTGGATAATTGCTCTTTGAAAATAGTATTATCAGAATTAAATGTTTAGTTCTAGCATGCCATTAATGAAAACCAAACATATTAGTGGCTCATGTTGAAAAATGGAAATTTCTTATCTGAATGTGAATTTCTTTAATATTAGTAGTGTGGGAAGGAAGATAGGCATGCACACTAGTTTCTTGTTATCAACACACCTGATCATTAAATGAGTCTAACTACTATAAACAATTTTAAAAATATTAATACCACTGGTATAGATCAGAGTAATAAAATCTATCAGGGTTTATTTACCTGGTTTAATCTTCTAATTGAAAACCCACTGGTAAATAGTAAGCCAAAGGTATAACATGTCATTTAAGAAAAATTAAATGTTTAAGAAGAGGCATACGAGTATGTTTCTGTAATACTCAATGAAAATAAGGAGGCTCTTCTAGCCTTATAGTATATGATAGAATTGCTAAAGAAACCACAAACTTGTGAACACAGGGACATCAAGAAAGAATGAGAGTAGAATCTTTTAAACAGACCTTCATGGTCATAAGGAAAAGCAGCAAAAGGAGAGATGAATTTCTCCTCTCCTATTAACAGCTCAGCAATCACACATCAAAGTGGCAGGCACCAAGTTTCACAGGGGTTTGCAAGAATTCAACCTTAACTACCTTCTCTCTGAAAATGTAGACTGGAACTCCATTTTTGTCTTTACTATTTCAACTGCATGGTGTTTTCCCTCTAATGACATGAGTAATGACGAGGACACGTCCGGAATTTAACAGTAATATACTTGAGTTGGCATATTAAGCTTAAAACCACTTAGTGTCTATGGCAATGGATGGAAGTAACCAGATAGTTATAAATGAAAATAAATGTATGGTGATGAGCATTATTGGAAGATTAATAAAAGTAGATAAAATGCACCTTAAGAGACGAAATAGTAAGTTAGGGAAATAGCCTCTGGCAGGAATCTGAAGACAGGAGTTTTAAAGAGTGACAACCAATTAGAATGAAGCTCTATACCCTTTTAAACAGAGATAAACATACATAATGAAAGGAATATGATTAGATATTTAAATACTCTCTAGTACTTTAATAATGACAACATGTTATATGGGAGAAGCATTACCTCATTTTATTAGCAGTTTTGACAAACTTCTAGTAAAAGTGAATTGACCAGAAATCCCTTAGGATACGTTAAACTGTTGCTTAATTTTGAAAAGCCAGGCACAAAACTTTAGCATGTTTGGTACAATTTAATTTTCCAAACTACAGAACATATGGAATTGCCAAGAACCAATAAACCAAGGACAAGCTGCCCATATTCAAATTCTGTTAGCTGTGTAGTTATTTCTAAATGGTCTTATAAGCAGTGCTAGGGAAAGCCACATACCTCTAGCTGCTTGCTGGCTTCTTCATTTCTCAGTATCAGGGACAATTTAGTGCGCAGACTCCGAAAGTGCATGTCAATCAGCATGTGTGCTCGCTTCGAGGTGACTTCACTGATAGACTAGAGAATATAAATTGACACCTTCATTATCAAAGCAAGTATCCCGAATAAAATACACCAAAAGAGAGATCTTCAAAAATACTCACCAAAATGACAAGCTGGTAATTTTCTGGATCATAAGTTACAGAAAAGGCGCCGACGGCCTTTTTGAAGTCCTTATGTGCCGATTCTTTGGCACACCTAGAAACAAAGAGGATACCCACTGTGAAGCTGAGATCATTATCAGCTACTGGCATAAATGCATGTAAAGCGATCTGTACCATGGATTCATATTAAATCTAACTTATGAGAAATACGCTACCTCCATGTAAAAGTTAAGTTTCTGTGCTGTGTCTATTTCTGAAATAGCCTAATCAAGCATTCAATATTTAACATCAGTTATGCCCTTCAATGATTACTGGTGAGCAAAGTGACAGATTTAGGGAATGCACTTTACAGGCTTCCTGATTTTAATTCTTTAAGATGTCAATAAATTGTTTGAGTCGACTGCTGGAAACTTTTGGGGTTGTTGTTTCTTTTCTGAAGAAAAACTGCTGACCAAAGGGGAGAAATGTATATGACTCAAAAATCCACAAAAATTTATACACATACACATATACAGACACAATCTCTAGACTCAAAAAGCAGGGTCTCTATATCATGTAACATACAAGTTAATACTTATCTAAAATGTGATGTGTCCAAATCAAACTAACTGTACCTTGATGAAGTATTTAAAAAAAGGAACCTCTAATCTAAAAAGTCTTCAAGCATTACTCCAGATCAAGGATTCTAATACAGAAATGGTCTTTTAAGGCTTTTTTAGTTCTACTTATTATATACTTACCTGAAAATATTAGCTGAAAGGAAAAAACCTGGAAAATTTGTCTAGAATTTGATTTATCAGCTGCGAAATAAAGCTAGCTTATTTTAGAATACAAACGTGTTATGTACATTAGCTAAGTAGATAGCCAAGTGAATTTAAACAAGATCAATGCTGGTTTGATTATGTAACTGAATAAAGCTAAATGAGGTTTTTCACTACTTTTGCAAACCAAACCACCTTTGCCAAATTTCACAGAATTAAAAAATTGATTCTTATGCTTTGAAGTTTACATTTCTTTTAAATTAACTGCATTTCACCTGCAACTTGTCCGTATTTCTTGCATAGCAACTTACATTTGTCGTAAATCTTCTGGCACATCCAGTTTGATCTTATGGAAAGTATCTTTAGTGGCAGGTTTGTTGGGATTAACTGATCGTAAACGTTCAATGGTAACAATCTCATTGTATGTAGCATCGCATGCTGCATATTCTATCACATAAAACTAAGAGAAATAAATAAAAGTCATTGCGGGTCATAGCTTTTAAAGTAAGAAAAAATTCAAGACACACCTATTTAGTTATTTTTAGATTTTTTAGAAAGGAGAAATTATCAACTTAAACACATGAAACACACTGAACACAGAGACAACATTTTTATAAATCATCAGATATTACTTTAAAAAGGAAATACAGACCAAAATGCAGAGTACCTGGGTTTAGAAAAAAGAAGTATTATAAGAAAAAATTTAAATATGCATTTTCCTACCTCACCCTTTATCATCCTCACTTTAGCTAACCACCAACAGCAAGGTTCTTTTTCATTTGCTCTGGAATAAACCTACATAAAAATTACAACATAGAACAATTGATGATTAATATCATTCAGAATCTGTAGATTATCAGACATTGAGGAAAAATTTTGTAAAGCGTACTCTGGTGTCCTCCAAGTGCGCATACTGTATAGCTTAGGTCAAACTGTAACCCCTTACAGCTAAACCCAGTTATGCATAGTCAGAAACCAATTGAACACCTTGGAAAGTTTTGTAAAAAGTTGCCTTCCTCAATTTTAACTCAGTAGTAATTAGCACTCTGAAAATGAATTCTCAGAAAAAGCTGACTTCATAAATCTGGGCATATCTCCTTGAGTGTTCTGCAAGTAAAAATATGTATCTAACAATGCCCATGCTGGCTTTTGTTTTACTCTTTTAAGTAAATAACCGATTCCAAGTTATCGACTTTTGGTGTATTACCTGGCTGCTTGATCACTAACTGGGTAAGGCCAATGACCACTCAGCCTAAGGGCACCACCCTGACATTAATGTCTCCTGGGGGACTCAGTGGGCAGACCCTCGGTCACTCTCTTATTTCCTGGCTCTTATTCACTAAAATGGACAGCTTCACACTGGCAAGCCTCTGACACCAGCTTTCTGTCTCATACATTGTGGGCCAGTGCTTCTAACTGATGGTGACCACTTGAAAGTTCACTTTGGATGTCCCACATGGAAACTTTTTTGACGACACTAGCAAGTGAAGGTCAATAGGAAAACAGCATAAACATAGAGCAAGAGGCAAATACGGAAGCAGAAAGGTAAGGAGAATGCAAGGGAGGTGACGGGCAGAAGACAGGAGAGGAAAGAGGTACACAGCCTAAGGCTGACAAGACACTCGGGATCCACATCTCTCCTCCCATTTACAGTGGAAGCTTAAGTCTGTAATATACAGTGATTAAACATAACTGAGCTCCATCTACTTTTCCTTCTTGCCCCATCACATTGCCTTTACTCTGCTCTTGCCAAATATCCTCAGTTAACTTATACAGTATAATGAAATCATCCTAGTAACAGCATCTTACTGGTCACCATCTGTTAAATGACTAAATTGGGGGAAAAGTATAATTTATCCATCATTATTATATTCCTGATATAGACAAAAGACTTTCCTTGCTTCCCTGTTACAACCTAAGTTAATGGGCCTATAATACTATGTCTAAATACAACTTAATTTAGCCTATCTATATTCCCTCTTGTCACCGTCAATCCATTTCAGTTTTAGCCCAGCCAGAGCCATAACTGAGGTCAGAATAAGATCTTTCTACCAATAGTATCTCATTGGGCACCACCTGCCAAGGTACGAAGTTAGGAAAAAGTCCACTTCAGCCATCCAAACACCACTATGCGCACTCGCCACACAGACAGACCAAATGTCCTGATCCTAGCCTTCAGGAAGACTGTGGTCTCCTGGGCCAGTAGACAGGTGAAGGTCCTCCAATGTAGACAATGTTCTGTTCCCTGCTGCAATCCCTCACAAATTCAAACCCAGTCCCTTACACCTAGTAGCTTATGAGCACATTTTTAGTAAATATGTAACACTTCATCCTATTTCCACTTTTAAAATTGTAGATAAAAGGACACAGGCCAAGACAGAGGCCTTCCCGAGCCCCTACTTCACCTTTTCCCTTCTATGTTCCTGTTAACCTGGCACATCTCCATGGCACCTTTTGGTCAGGCCTCCATGTCAGACGAGCAGGTGCGTATACACTAAACCTTGTTTTTAAAAATGTTGCGAAAGTTTACTGCTACTTTAGCAAAATTCATGGCTATTACTCTATTACAAGGAATAATTTTCTTCGTCATGCTAATTTTTCAAATCCACTCTGCTTAACTTCGGGACATGGTGGCAAACTACTAACACGGCATTCAAGAGGTTGAGGAAGGGGAAAAGGTGTCCTAGTGCGCAAAGGGAGTCAGCAGTGGCTTTCACAGAGGTCCCGAGAACTGTGCAGCCACTTCATGTGTGATTTCCTAGCATTATTAAGATGGCTCAGTCTCTGCCCAAGTCCATCATAGCTAATTCATTCACTAGTTAGTTTTTAGACCATGGTAAAGACTAGAGGGACAAAAGGCAGTGGAAAATTAAATGTGTCTGCTCCTTCAGTACTTCATAACTTGAAGGCAGAGGAAACTTACCTCAACTTCATCACTTTCATTTATATCTTTATTATAACCTACAGGTGGTGGGAATCTCACATCATGGAATGGAATCTGCCTCTCTGGCTGCCAACTGCAAATAAGCACACACAAATTATTTAACATTCTTTTCAGCTTAACAGAAACAATGACCATGCTGCCATTAGCTCTTGGTTAAGTATGGCCCTCTGTTTCTCTCGTTTAAAGGAACAAGCGCTTTAAAACTGTCAGTGTTGTGTTGGGTGAGGCACCACGGCACTATGGAGACGTTTCAACAACGTCTACATGCAGCACAGCAGCCTTGTGGTTCTACTTGGACTAGTTCTCTGGAACACAGTAAAACCAACATGACAGTCTTCCAAACACGGCCTTCTGACAATTTCAACCTCTAGGAGTTCTAAATATAAGTCCACAAGAGCAATTTCCTTTGATGCTTAAATTAAATATGTTAGTATTATCAGTGTTAGTAAAATTCTCTTCCTCCTCCTACTTGCAAAGGAATTTTAACCACACTCCAATGACCACAGAAACCAGTCCTAAGTGCCCTCCAATTCCCAAGCAAAATGGGGCAGTCAGCATAGTTAACAAGTCACAACTCACTTTTCCCCCTTTAAATTTTAGATCCCACGAGGTGGTCAATCCTTGCCATGGAAAGCTGGCTGCTGATCAGTATGATGCACCAGCAGGCACTGGGCTGGTGGGGTCTCCTAAGCCACAGAAACCCGCTGGAAACAGCCTATATGAGCTTGTGAGTGTGCCCATGTTTTTTAATTTGAAATGATAAGGAACAATTTTGAAAAACACCAAATTGATCTTTTATATGCACAGTGATGTAAAATATGAAAAGACAAATTTTGTAAAACACTGGGGGATTCAAGCGCCAGAGCTGATGCTTTCTGGATCTTGTTACCAAAGGGTTTTCTTTGTAAACTACTATTAAGAAAAGCAATTGTTTGTTTTCTCTTTCATTTGTAAAAAAGGGCTATTATATAAGCTGGTACATAGTTAAGTCAGGGCCCATATTCCACTGAGCCCTTCTTCTGAATTATCTGCTTACTTGAAAACTATAAAAAATGGTCTTTACTTCAGAAAACTCTTTTCATACTAAAAATCAATGACTTTTTTTTAACATGTTGCAAATTCATTACTAAATGTGACTGGTAACACATGTAATATTTAATATCACTTTTGTGTTTCTAAAGTCTTAGGTGTACAGAAATGAAGGTTCAAATTATTTATTCAAAAAAGTGAAGTATGGAATCACATAAAATAATGTGATTATAATGGGAGCTTCGTTATGTCTGAAAGGAAAGAAAAGGTATAGTGTAAAGTTCTATAAAACATTAGTTTTCTTAAACAGGAAAATGAGGAGGACACACAAGGTGGCCAGGAGACCACACTCTGGAAGGGCCGAGAGCTGTGCTCCATGCGCTCAACCCAGCACTGAACGCCAAGAAAAACATGGACACAGGAAAAACAGCTGATCTATTTTCAAGTTCCCAGGATGACAGTTTGAAGAGAAACTTTTATGTAGCTATAGTACAGGAGAGAACGAGAAAGTCCAAAGAGAATAATTTTAATAGCAGTAATCTTATGGAAAACAAATGAAAAAAGAACTGATCTGATAAATTAGTGTACAAACTAGACACACTTTTAAATGAATAGAGGAAATGAGTGCTTGCTCAATGCTTGAGGTTAAGAATTATAGGAGAAACTGCAATGGCAGATACAGATACTCTCCCTTTACAGAAAATATTGCCTACCCAGTGATGGGAGCAAGCAGATATGGGATAATTGTCAGAAAAAAAAAGTCATTCTGCATGTTATCAAAGACTCCTCTATTAGAGGTGTGATTCTTTTCTCTAGTGTAAAACATGGATACTCAAATGCAAAGAGGCACATTCTGGAAGTTTTGGCTCTATGTGTTCAGAGACATGTATTCTATTAATCTGACTTGTATTATGGACTAAAATTATTAGTCTATAGTTAAGAACAGGGTCAGTTGCTCTAAATTATTTTATCTCTGTCCCACTAAATTCGATTCAGGGATCTACATCATCCTGTTGTTAGCTAAAATAATCTGCTAACAGTTACAGTATATCTGGGTCACATACTGTATTTTAGCAGACTTATTATTCAGATATAATTCAATTGCCATATAATCCATCCATTTAGGTGTATGTGCAATTCAATGATTTGATGTTTTTAAGAATATTCATAGATATGTGCAACCATTGCCAGTTAATTTTACATCTTCATTGCTTCAAAAAGAAGCCCGATATTTTAGGTATGGCCTCTTATTTCCCCAGCCCTAAGCAGTCATTAACCTCTATAGATTTCTTCTTTCTCTAGATATTCAATCTGTCCTATTAATTCCCCTAGTACATAAAAATCAAAACATTGTTTACTTGTTGACCATTCTTCAGGGTTCAATAAAATCCTCAAGTCATGACTACACATATTCTTTGGCTAAGGAGTCATTACATACTTTAGATTAGACTCCTGAATGGTTACTCTGAAAATAACCTTTATTCACACTCAAAAAAATATGAAAGACTTGTTCTTGCCAACAAAATATTAATATCTATGTTTATCGATGACTTCACAAAGGTATTGTTCCTAGGCCTGTAGATATTTTAATTTACTCATGTAGCAGAAAAGATCAGTTACTACTATTACTGGTTATAAATATATGGCACAGAAAAAATAAACTAATGGTTAAACATGATTGTTCCTAATAAAATATACTAAATGAAAACCATTCATTTTAGGCTATATTTTACAAAACTCACATCGATTTTGCCAATACCCGTGAATCCCTTCATTTTCATCTTTTAAAAAATACACATATTCCTATCCAAACTCTGAGCTATTAATACAGAAGAATCTGGTTTCTTTCTTCATATTCAAGGGGACTGAACAGCCATCCACGAGTTTAATACTTTGTTCAGGAACTTCTTGGTCAGTAACATGAAGATCCATTCCTGAAAAACACTCAAACTAGACTTGAATTTTTAAAAATGAGGAATAAATAATAATTAGCATAAACCTTAAAAAACACACTTACTTGTTTTCAAATGCAACGGTTATCGAGTCTTCATGAACGTCCTTTACAAACGCCTATAAGAAGAACACCATTTAAATTAACTTCTAGGCATAAAATTATTTTGCTTTTAGTTAAAATCTACAGCTACCAAAAAAATCAAGCAATGTTACAAGTGAAAGCTTGTCCCTTTTTATCGTATCACTCACTCTGAATTATGCCTATAGTCACCAACTGTGTGTTAGGCCCTAAGAACACTGATCAAGCAAAATACACACAATTACTCCCCATAGTTCGGCATCTAATAAGAGAAAGCGAGTAAGCCGAAACTTCCACAGCAGGTGCAAGTGCCAAATGGATTGTGTGCACGTTCGGCTAGAATTATCGAAGACGAAGAAACTTTTTCCGGGGCCATATGCTAGCCATGACAGCCTGTTTTATTATAACCTATCTTTTCCTCCTTAATAAAATCTCAAGAAACTACAAATAGTGTATGGTTAAATAGAATCTCAACTCTATGTAAACACAAGGACACTAAATTTTCTTTAACAACTATCTGCTGCTAATACTGCCAAAAAGTCCAATTACTAGGATTTAATTAAATTCTCAATCTCGCAGGAACTTGAGGAAAAAAATAATATAGACATCTAAATTTTTTAAATCTGATGACGCAATTGCTAGTAATCTGCAGAAAGACATAATAAAGGTAATAGCTAACTAATTATCAAGAATTCTTTAATCAGCATGCTGGCCATAATTCTATAAAATTAAGTTTTTAATAGGTGTAGCAAAGGAGGTTTGCTTTCGTTTTGCCAATTAGAGCAGAAAAAAAAACAAGAGGCTTTACATTTTACATCTTAAATTTAAAATGGCTTGAGAAATTTAATCTTCTTCCTCAAATTTGTTCAGTTTACATGTTTCTCTCCTTCTGTAATTTCTCCCTGCCTGTAGGATTATGACCAAATTCCTTCTCTGGCTGCAAAAGGCCCTTCCTGACCTGGCTCCACTGCTCACCTTGCCAAGCTTTATCTTTCACATCCTTTAGAGGCTGTTGTGCGCCAACAGTGCTAAGCTACTCAGGTCCCTCTGTAAATGCTGTTCCTACATTCTCAGGGCCCTTTCCTTTTCTTCCCCTAGTTATCTACTACTGACCTTCTACTTTCAGTTCAGAGGTTACATTCTATGAGAAAACCCAGACTAGGTTAACTTACTGTCATCTTCATTCTCAAGGCATCTCACTCCTCTATGCTGGTATCACCCATTTGCCCATGATCAGTAAGGTCCCAGGAGTGGGCAATACACTGGACTTGTACTTCTGAATGCCTACTATGAATTCAATGAATAGTAAGTTGAACACTGCCTAAAAGGTTCCTAATCTAAAGAGGGGTGAGGAGAGTGGGGTGTTAATCAGGGGATAACATACTAAGGTGAGGTTCTTATCAAAACTAAAGGTTGAAAAAGAATTAGCCGAATAAAAGGGAGTGGAGGAAGAGAGCCAGTCCAGGCCTTGGGTGGCAAGAACAAATGCTTAGACCTGGAAAAACAGCTTGAGGCGTGTCAAAAATAAATCCTTGTGGGGAAGGAAGCCAAAACAATTCAATGGAGGAAAAAGAATTGTGCTTGCAACAAATGATGCTGGGACAACTGGATATTCACTTGCAGAAGAATGCCTTTTGATCCTTACCTCATACCATATACAGAAACTAAAAATGCATTAGGGACCTAAATGTAAGAGCCAAAACTATAGAACACTTAGAAGACAGAGTAACAAAAGCTCATGACTTTCGATACTGGGAAGACAACTAGTTTGGATTAAAGCCACTCTTTAGTAGCTTTAGTAACTGGTACCATTTTTGGCAGATAATAAGTGCCCAACATGGATGTTAAACAAATGATTCAATATAAATGTCTTATAAACAAATGTATCTTCAAAGGTCTGAAGTTAAAGGATTTTTTTAAAAACTGAAACTTCCCAAAATATCAAATCAAAACATACCACTCAACTATTAATTACCTGTTCCTAAGGAAAACAATGACGATGAGGCAGGGAGCTAGAAAACATGTATGTGGATAAAGAGACACGAAAACTTCTACAATTATGCTCAAAAGAATAAAAGTACACTAAAAGCAAGTTTCCTTGTAAACTCAAAGTGGATAGACTATGGGCTATACTGGAATCCCAGTGTTCTACTGCACTGACAATGGTGTATTTACTATTCTAAATTAAGTATGTTCAAATACCTGGTTTAAAGATATAATCTAATTTGGGTGGGGATCCCCATTTTCTTCTTATCATTTTGACCTTGCCTGTTTTTCCTCAGCTATCTTTAAATCATCAAGATTTTGTACTGCATTATTTTGGAAACTCTAGTTTAATTATGACCATGATAGTGTTTTAGAAAATGCTGGATTTCATCATAAGGGGACATGCCTCCAATGTGCTAAAGAATTGCTCATCTCACTATTACCTCAGCAACAAAGAGGGCTTGAATCTGAGTTAAAACTGCTGAAATTGGTCATTGTTAGTTTACACAGTTAAGATGGAGAAGGGGAAAAACATGACCTTCTGCCTTTCTGTCTTTTTATCTTGTCCATACACGATGGCTAATACCAAATTAAGCAATCTGCTTTTGGGGGGTTGTATCAAATTAAGCACTAAAATGAAAATTCCCATTAGGACATAACCCCTTATTTGCCAAGAAAGGCCACTGTGTCTTATCTTCATCCTCTGAAGTTTTGTATTTGCATGTCTTGGCAGTAATTAACATTAATGGTAAGTCCTTTCGTCAGTGAAGAGAACCTTGGTATAGCTGGGTGAAATGCTGTTCTCACAAATTCAGGTGTCTGAATGGCTACTGTCCTTGGCTACAACTGTGCTGTCCACATGACAGCTGCTAGTTATATCTGACTGTTTACCTTTATATGCATTACAATCAAGTAAAACAAAAACTTGGCCACCTAAATTTCACATGTTCAACATACTCACAGGCCCCTGTGGTGGGCAGTTGTAGAGAGAGCCCATCTCCATTACTGCAGAAAGGGCTGGGCAGCACTGCTTTAAAGCCTTCACAAATACTGGGGGCTGTTTGCCAGTCTACCTTGAAAGCACACTAAAAGTCAGTCTCATTACTTCATCGTTTTATTTTTTTATTTGCCAAAAAGTTGTCACATGGTTTCATCATACTCATTCATCACATATGACTATTTCATAAAATCAAACATTCCCTCAGAGGAGGAAGAACTGCAACTGTTGTGACTATTCAAGAAGAAAAAGCTCTGAAAGCAGCTCAGGATGTGGAGAGTCAGAACCGGTTGAGTAATCAGCAGTCTACAGGGCCACAGACTTCACTTTAATGAGCTCGTTTGTGGACTGAGAGCTCCTTCATTCTCCCCCAATAAGTCATTTTTAGATATTGCATATTAAGAGAATACAGAAGGCATGTGATACCATTGATGCTGTAATAAGTGGAATAGAAGTTGGGCCTCCCTGGTGGCACAAGGGATTAAGTCTCAGCACAAGGAAGCTCCACACAGCCACTGCAGCATGAACAAGTTGGATCCCCAGACAGAGAGCTGACCCACAGGGTGCAGCAGACCTCTCCTGTCTTCCTGCTGCTCATTTCAGCAGTGGATTTCAGTGGATCCGCCTATTCTGCTCCCCACTCTGACTCTGGGGAATCCTCTCACCAGTCCTGCCCCCACACCCCTCTGGCCTATACCCCAGCTCTTGTATGCATAAATAAACCTTTAAAAAAAAAAAGAAACCCACAGGATTGCCTTTGATCTGCCTGCACCCATACCAAGGGCAGAAGCACCCCATGATGTGAGTCATTTTACAAAAATTGTCATTTCCAACAAGGGTCCCATCTTCCTGCTTCTCATCATAGTTTTCTAATTACTCACCTGTTTGGCCCTGCCTCTTCCTTACCCAAAACTCTTTCCCTCTTTCCAGGTCACTTCCAGAGTGCTATCACCCCCCCCCACCATCCACTTGGAAAACACTCTCTAAACTGCTACCATTCCCATCAAGCCCAGCTGGTGTTTGGGACACACTTAAGGGGGCTCCTGTGAGATTACCAAAGGCCAGCTAAAAGGGTTGAATGAATCACTGGACAAGAGCTTGGTTCCTTTTACGTCAGTAAATTCAGTGGTTGGGTTTTGCTTTGAATGAGACTGGAGTTCAAAATCTGGTTCTGTAACATAATGGCTGTAAAACTGTCCAAAAAAGTGGCGTTTGGGCCTCAGACTCCTCACTTACAAGTAAGGAATGGCTACGGGAGAACTGGATCTGACTCTTAAGGTTGTTGTGTAGTGCTTAGTACAACACTTCACACAGAGCTGGCATTAAATGAGAGATAAAGCAAAGAAGGTCACAATTTATGAAAGACACAGGAAGGACTACAGTGATCAAGCATCAGATATCCCATGTTCATAAATGTCCACTTTAAAAAATGCACACTATTTGTTAAAGAGGCCATCCTTTCTCCATTGTATGGCAATAACCCTTTTGTCAAAGATTAACTGTCCATAGTTGTGGGTATTTATCTCTGGGCTTTCTAATCTAGTCCCCTGGCCTACATGTCTGTTTTTGGTCTAGTACCATTCTACTTTGAGTACTGTTGCTTTGCAGTACTGTTTGAAGTCAGAAGTGTGAAGCCTCTATTTTTCTTCTCTTCTCTCAGAATTGTTTTAGGTACTTAGAGTCTTTTGTAGTTCCATATAAATTTTATAATTGCTCAACTTCCTTGAAAAAGTCATTGGTATTTTGATAGATATTGCATTCAAATTGTAAATTGCTTTGAGTAATATGGTTATTTCTTTAAAGATTTATGTATTTATGCATGCAGGACTGGGTACAGGCCAGAGGTGCAGGGGTGGTGAGAGGATTCACCAAAGACAGAGTGGGGAGCAGAACAGGCCGACTGACAAAGTACTGAGGGGAGCAGCAGACGGGTCAGGAGAGGTCTGCTGCGCCATGTGGATCACCTCCGGGGCGGGGATCAAACTCATGCTGAAGTGGCTTTCGCTTCTTTGTGCTGTGCTTTAGCCCGCTGCGCCACCAGGGAGGGCCCAAGTA